TTAGTAGTACTGTTTTCTGTCCATTTGAATGACATAATTTTGTGCATTTGATATGGTGTCCTAATTGGTTTGGGTAATGTTTCAGACTGCTTTATATAGAGGGTGATTTGACCGTGGTCTGAGAAAGGTTTCAAGGGTTTGACTGTGAATGCTCTCAAAGAGGAAAGATCTAGATCTGTGATTGTATAATCTACAGTGCTGCTACCAAGAGCTGAGCTGTAGGTGAAGCGACCGAGTGAGTCTCCTCGCAGTCTTCCATTGACGATGTACAGAGCCAGGTTCTGACAGAGCTGCAGCAGCTGCCTTCCATGAGAGTTCACTACCTGAACACAGTTCTGTCTGGGAGGGTGAGAAGGGAAAAATCTGTTATTGCCGGTAATGAATCTGGTGCCTTGTGATTCTATGAAATCTAATCTGTCACCGGTTCTAGAATTCAAGTCACCCATAAGCAGCACATTTCCCTGGGCCTGGAAATGGCTGATTTTGGCTGATTTCTTGCTCTAAGTTTTGAAAGGTTTCTTCTTGGAAATAGGGAGACTCGAGGGGTGGTATGTATATGGCACAGAGGAAGACAGGCTGAGATGTTGATATGATGCTTTTTTTAATTTTCAGCCACAGGTGGTACTGCTCTCTGTTGACTAATTATATGGACAGTTCAGATTTAGTCCAGATTATCATCCCTCCCGAGTCTCTTCCCTGTGTGGTTGATCGGAGTTTGACTGAAGATAATAGTTTCTCTGTATCCTGAGGGACAGCCAGTGGACTCATCCCCTCTACACCAGGTTTCTTGTAAAATTATGATATCTAGGCCATCAATTTCTCTCATAAAGTCTGGATTTTTACTCTTCAGACCAAAGACTGAGGAATTCAGACCCTGAATATTCCACAAGGAGATGCTAAATGATTTCATCACATAAAGAATGATAATCTATAGAGTTTGATTGCTATTTTGAGAAAAAGAGAAAGACATAAAAAGAGCAAAAACAAAACAGATTGGATGCAACAGTAAATACATTTGAGAAATGTTATGGTATTAACTCAGAATATCAACTAATTCCGTTATAAAAATATATATATATTTTTTTTAATAATTTTTTTTTTTTTAAGTTCTCATCTCTGTCCACTGTGTGTCAGTAGGGGAGACGGCCTGGGCGTAGCTCTGTCTGCGCTGCCTCGGTGGAGGAGCTGTGGGGCTTTTGTAGAGCAGTCTCTGTCGGTGTGGCTCCTCTCTGGGCTCTCTGGGCATGGATGGGGCTCTAGATGAAGTGCTGTCTCTTGAGGTGTGTCTCGCTGGTGTGGCTGGGTTAGGGCTGGTTCTGCTCCACCTGGGGCTGGTCTGGTTGGTCCTGTTTAGAGTGACGTCTTTAAGTCTCTTTGCCAGGATATGTACCAGATTTTTATATAGGTGGACATGATCGTACAGACAGTCGGTGTCCAGGTCTGGGTGGTGTGCCAAGTAGACATTAGGCACAAGGGCACAGTGTCTGGAGATGTTGGCATTTATCTTACTGATTGTGTTGGGATGGAAGTCTTTTCTCTGAAGCAGAGTGGAGAGGATGATTTTTGAGTTGGGGAAAGTGTGTCTTGCTTTTTCCACAACAGCTCTGAGGGAATCGGACACTCTGTCCTGTTGGCTCCGCAGATCATTGGTGCCCGTGTGGATGATGATGTGGCTGGGATGGCCCAGCTGAGATTCTGTCAGAAGCTCCAGGGCTTTGTCAGTGTTGGGACACCAGTGTTTAACAGCTCTGTGTCGGGGGAAGAGTTTCTTTATGTCGATGAATTTCCCATTTGAATCAATGAGCAGGGCTATTTCTGGCTGTTCTGAGCTGGTTGGTGCTGAGCTGTCAGATGGCTGCTGCTGGTGTTGTGATGGGGCACTTGACACGAGGCTCTGTGATGACTGTGAGCGGTCTGGGCCGGGTCTCTCTGGGTGCTGGCTGACTGTGGCGGGTGTCTCTGGGCTGGAGGGCAGTGTTTGAGCTCTGTGGATCTGCTCTGGTTCTTGTCTGGTCAGGAGGAGCTCTCTCACCTGCTCCTTCAGGGCCTGGATCTCACTGTGCTGCTGCTCTCTCTCCTCCTGTAACTCTCGAAGCTGCTGCCTCATCTCTAGTGTGAGATGCTCTCTGTCCTGTAGCTGGAGTCTCAGTGTGGCCAGCTCTTTCAGGGCCTGGATCTCACTGTGCTGCTGCTCTCTCTCCTCCTGTAACGCTCTAAGCTGCTGCCTCATCTCTAGTGTGAGATGCTCTCTGTCCTGTAGCTGGAGTCTCAGTGTGGCCAGCTCTTTCTGACAGCTGTCCTTCTCTGTCTGTAAACTTTTGACTTGCTGTGTGAGGGCTGACAGTCTCTGTGTGATGTGCTCTGAGTTTAGCTGGAGTTCAGTGTGATGCTCCTGTTTGAGTACGGTTTCTCTGAGCTGCACCATCTCCATCTCCAGCCTTGTGAAGTGCTCCTGGAGTACAGGTATGGATTTGAGCAGGGGGGACGAGGGGTCCTGGGCAGGGCTCTCTGCAGCGGTGGGCTTGAGATCTGGGCTACTGCTCTGTGTATTCTGCTCAGATGATAGATATTCAGATAATAGGGCTTTCTCTAGGTTCATTATTGCACTGTAGTCAGTCTGGAATGTTTTCAGATTTCCCTGTATCATGACTGTGCCATTTTTATATAAGTTCACAGTTATCACTGTGGTGTCGGGGTCACATGGTTCTCTGATTTTGACTTTCCAGCCATTACAGATGCCCTCCTTCTTTACAGAGGGGTAGTGGTTGATGATGGCTTTATGCCAGGCACTGGGATGATCAGTGAAGAAAATCAGATTGCAGAATTCTCCAGTTTTAAAGGAATCTGCAAAAAGAGTTTCTGGGTTGTCTTTAAGAAGTTTCTGCTTATAGTTTTTCCTTGCAGAGTCAGTTGTGACGTCAGAGGGGTACTGTATGGACACACAGTCTGTGCAGAGTGGGGAGCTCATTTGCATATGGCAGTGGGCGGACTGCATCGTCTCCTCTGATTGGTTAATGTTCTCTGGCTCATTTGAATTGATACATTGAGGAATGTCAGAGTGAAGGGTAGCCATAGCTTTAGCTTTTAGCATTTTTAGCTTATAAACATTTGAAATAGTATGTCCTTGTATTTGAGAATAAATATTGTCCACTGCAGTTAGTTGTACTCACTGCTTCTCCCTCTCTGATCTGTAGAGGTTTATCTCGAAGGATTGTCCTGTTTTTGAGTTTCCCTCCAATTTTCCTGTGGCTCTGTGCTGCTAGAAACTGATCCTCTGCGCTGAATATTTGGTTTTAAAAAACAAAAACATAAAAAGAGCAAAAACAAAACAGATTGGATGCAACAGTAAATACATTTGAGAAATGTTATGGTATTAACTCAGAATATCAACTTATTTAATTTGGAATTTATTTTTATTTTTATAAAGTTCTCATCTCTGTCCACTGTGGGTCAGTAGGTGAGAGCAGATGATACTCAGCATGTGTTGGATGTTGTGAAGCTCAGCGCTGGCCGGGTTTACTCCTCCACTGACGGCCTGGGTGTAGCGCTGCCTCTCTGGCTTGGGTGGAGGAGCTGTGGGGCTTTTGTAGAGCAGTCTCTGTCGGTGTGGCTCCTCTCTGGGCACTGAAGCTCTGGATGGGGCTCTAGATGAAGTGCTGGCTGGTTTGGCTGGATTAGGGCTGGTTCTGCTCCACCTGGGGCTTGTCTGGTTGGTCCTGTTTAGAGTGACGTCTTTAAGTCTCTTTGGCAGGATATGTACCAGATTTTTATATAGGTGGACATGATCGTACAGACAGTCGGTGTCCAGGTCTGGGTGGTGTGCCAAGTAGACATTAGGCACAAGGGCACAGTGTCTGGAGATGTTGGCATTTATCTTACTGATTGTGTTGGGATGGAAGTCTTTTCTCTGAAGCAGAGTGGAGAGGATGATTTTTGAGTTGGGGAAAGTGTGTCTTGCTTTTTCCACAACAGCTCTGAGGGAATCGGACACTCTGTCCTGTTGGCTCCGCAGATCATTGGTGCCCGTGTGGATGATGATGTGGCTGGGATGGCCCAGCTGAGATTCTGTCAGAAGCTCCAGGGCTTTGTCAGCTTTGTCAGACCAGTGTTTAACAGCTCTGTGTTGGGGGAAGAGCTTCTTTATGTCGATTAATTTCCCATATTTCCCATTTAAATTTCGGAGGTTTTTTCTCAGAGCCTTACAGTCTGAATCAAACCATCTGTCAGTGTCCAATTTCTTTTTCTTTGGTTTTATAATTGTCATATCACTTCTTTGTGCTGTCTTATAGAATATGTAATTTATATCTTTCACTGCTTGATTGATGCCGAATTGATTTTTAGGGTATTCCTGTATTTGGAAAGAATGTAAGAGGGACTGTATTTCTGAAGATTCAGTAGCGTTGATGTAATTAGTAGTACTGTTTTCTGTCCATTTGAATGACATAATTTTGTGCATTTGATATGGTGTCCTAATTGGTTTGGGTAATGTTTCAGACTGCTTTATATAGAGGGTGATTTGGCTGTGGTCTGAGAAAGGTTTCAAGGGTTTGACTGTGAATGCTCTCAAAGAGGAAAGATCTAGATCTGTGATTGTATAATCTACAGTGCTGCTACCAAGAGCTGAGCTGTAGGTGAAGCGACCGAGTGAGTCTCCTCGCAGTCTTCCATTGACGATGTACAGAGCCAGGTTCTGACAGAGCTGCAGCAGCTGCCTTCCGTGAGAGTTCACGGCCTGATCACAGTTCTGTCTGGGAGGGTGAGAAGGGAAAAATCTGTTATTGCCGGTAATGAATCTGGTGCCTTGTGATTCTATGAAATCTAATCTGTCACCGGTTCTAGAATTCAAGTCACCCATAAGCAGCACATTTCCCTGGGCCTGGAAATGGCTGATTTCTTGCTCTAGGTTCTGAAAGGTTTCTTCTTGGAAATAGGGAGACTCGGGGGGTGGTATGTATATGGCACAGATGAAGACGGGCTGAGATGTTGATATGATGCCTTTTTTAATTTTCAACCACAGGTGGTACTGCTCTCTTTTGACTAATTCTATGGACAGTTCAGATTTAGTCCAGATTATCATCCCTCCCGAGTCTCTTCCCTGTGTGGTGGATCTGAGTTTGACTGAAGATAATATCGTTTCTCTGTATCCTGAGGGACAGCCAGTGGACTCATCCCCTCTACACCAGGTTTCTTGTAAAATTATGACATGTAAGTCATGAATTTCTATCATAAAGTCTGGTTTTTTACTCTTCAGGCCAAATACTGAGGAGTTCAGACCCTGAATATTCCACGAGGAGATGCTAAGTGATTTCATCAGAAAAAGAAAGATAGTCTATAGAGTTTGTTTGCTATTTTGAGAAAAAGAGTAAGACATAAAAAGAGCAAAAACAAAACAGATTGGATGCAACAGTTAATACATGTGAGAGATGTTATGGTGTTAACTCAGAATATGAACTAATTTAAATAGGTTTTTTTTTATTTTTTTTTTTTAAGTTCTCATCTGTGCACTGTGTGTCAGTAGGTGAGAGCAGATGATACTCAGCATGTGTTGGATGTTGTGAAGCTCAGCGCTGGCCGGGTTTACTCCTCCACTGACGGCCTGGGCGTAGCTCTGTCTCTCTGGCTCGGCTGGAGGAGCTGTGGGGCTTTTGTAGAGCGGTCTCTGTCTGTGTGGCTCCTCTCTGGGCGCTGAAGCTCTGGATGGGGCTCTAGATGGGGTGCTGTCTCTTGAGGCGTGTCTCGCTGCTGTGGCTGGGTTAGGGCTGGTTCTGCTCCACCTGGGGCTTGTCTGGTTGGTCCTGTTTAGAGTGACGTCTTTAAGTCTTTTTGCCAGGATATGTACCAGGTTTTTATATAGGTGGACATGATCGTACAGACAGTCGGTGTCCAGGTCTGGGTGGTGTGCCGGGCACAGTGTCTGGAGATGTTGGCATTTATCTTACTGATTGTGTTTGGATAGAAGTCTTTTCTATGAAGCAGAGTGTAGAGGATGATTTTTGAGTTGGGGAAAGTGTGTCTTGCTTTTTCCACAACAGCTCTGAGGGAATCGGACACTAGGTCCTGTTGGCTCCGCAGATCATTGGTGCCCGTGTGGATGATGATGTGACTGGGATGGCCCAGCTGAGATTCTGTCAGAAGCTCCAGGGCTTTGTCAGTGTTGGGACACCAGTGTTTAACAGCTCTGTGTCGGGGGAAGAGTTTCTTTATGTCGATGAATTTCCCATTTGAATCAATGAGCAGGGCTATTTCTGGCTGTTCTGAGCTGGTTGGTGCTGAGCTGTCAGATGGCTGCTGCTGGTGTTGTGATGGGGCACTTGACACGAGGCTCTGTGATGACTGTGAGCGGTCTGGGCCGGGTCTCTCTGGGTGCTGGCTGACTGTGGCGGGTGTCTCTGGGCTGGAGGGCAGTGTTTGAGCTCTGTGGATCTGCTCTGGTTCTTGTCTGGTCAGGAGCAGCTCTCTCATCTGCTCTTTCAGGGCCTGGATCTCACTGTGCTGCTGCTCTCTCTCCTCCAGTAACTCTCTAAGCTGCTGCCTCATCTCTAGTGTGAGATGCTCCCTGTCCTGTAGCTGGAGTCTCAGTGTGGCCAGCTCTTTCTGACAGCTCTCTGTAAACTTTTGACTTGCTGTGTGAGGGCTGACAGTCTCTGTGTGATGTTCTCTGAGTTTTGCTGGAGTTCAGTGTGATGCTCCTGTTTGACAACCCTCTACATTGCGAGTAAATCACTCGCATATGCGACTAAATCTTCACTCTGGCGACTAAATGATGTCTAATATTAGCCAATTGCTAATAAATTCTCAGATTTTACTCGCCAGTGTGTGAGTTGGAGGCTAAGTATAAGTTTAGCTCAGATATATTTTCACTCGCCGAACACTCTCTGACTGAGCGCATCAGAGTTTCACTCTCCACTAAGCGATCTGTGCTGTTTTTCAGTTAATCTGAATGGATGTGCAACGCACAACGGCAGTGGGGTGACTGCATCTTCTCCTCTGATTGGTTAATGTTCTGTGCCTCATTTGAATTGATACACTGAGGAATGTCAGAATGTAGGGTAGCCATAGCTTTTAGCATTTTTAGCAGTTTTAGTTTATAAAAAAATATAAAAATTGTATGTCCTTGTATTTGAGAATAAATATTGTCCACTGCAGTTAGTTGTACACTGCTTCTCCCTCTCTGAACTGTTGAGGTTTATCTCAGTTGGAAAAGAGGAAGGGCGCGAGAGAATTCTAGATCTGCGGTCAACAGGACACACGTCATGACTCATGACGTCAACAGAAACTCAACCAGCTGCTGTTGCACCTGGCGCAAAAAATTACAGCATCCATGACAGCGAGTGTTAAGATGTGGAACACAAACTCGGTCAAAAAAGAAAAGCGTTTTAAAACTTATGGCATTCACTAGACCTTGTTTGCAAATTGTCGGGTGCGGCGTACCACGTTCTTTGCTAACTACGCTAGCACATTACATTACAAGCTAAAGTAGCAACAACAATTGTAATAACTAGGACGAGCAGCAATTTTTTTTTTAAAGTCAGTACAATGAACCAATGAAACAAATGAAAAAGCTACTAAAGAAGCTCCACATGGCCTGTCACTTGCTCGCTGTCGAAACTGGTTTCATATCAGACAATAAATTTTAACCATTGACACTCACATGATGTAACCGATGTGCTGTCACACCTCCTATAGTAGTTTGATTAATCTGTAAAGTGTTTGCAGCTTATAATTGCTAAAAGTGAAACTGTCATATAACAGATCCTTCAAGCTGGAAGATGACACGCTTGCTGACGTAAACACAGAAACGGTCACGTAAAGGGGCGGTCACACTAGTCTTTGAATGTGTGAAATTTTTTCGGACACCGCTGCGAATATGGGTGGGAGCAGGATATGACATCACGCGCCAAGGTTTTCCCTCAGTTATCACAACATGGATTGCGATGTGCTTGTACTGTGTCTTTTGCGACGGCGTCGAAAGCGTCTGGAAAGGAGAAGGCTGTGGGTTCACCCTATTCTACACTCTGAATGAGCGGGGAGAGTTCCATTCTTTAATTCAGGAGCTTCAGCTGGATGAGGTTCGCCACAAGGAGTACTTTCGGCTCTGTCATATTTTATTACCATTTTTTTAAACTATAGTGAATAAACTGTATTAATGAATGAAGTGTTCAAGGTGTCTGAATAAATTTTGGTTTGATTGTACATACATACATATATATATATACATACACATATATATATTAGGGCTGCACGATAAATCGCATGCGATATTTAACACGCATCTTGCAAAATGAACGAATCTTTTTGAGTCATTTCATTCATTTTAGCAAAATCTAATTAAAATGTTACGTGTTACTTCCCTAACAAGTCTACTAAAGTCCAATGCAAACGTTGATCACACTACAAACAATACAAAACTATAATGCTATAAGAAACAGAAAAGATTAATTCATTGTTTACCTAGATCTTCAGTCTATGATTAGCTCACCTCACCTCTTATCTGACAAGTCTTCGGGTTTGAGTCGTTCGTTCATCACGTGACAGCCCCATAAGCTTTCGTTCTTCCCGAGTCACATTAAAGATTCGTTCAAGAACGACCCAACACTAATGAACTTGAGTTTCCGGTCTGACGCATTCGCATGCGTATGAATGGAAGTCAATGGAACGAAAAGTGCAGTGTGACCGCCCCTTAACAGTAGTACTAGACAATCATGAACACGCAACTGGATACAGCTGGTGAATCTCTAAATAAAACGGGCCTATTCTAGGCTAACTAAAATGCTAAAAATACACCACGATCGTCCATATTAGCGTTGCTACCTTTAGCCACATATCACGCGATAAGGCTTAATTAAAAGGACTAAAACGCTCTTTAGTGATAAAGTTTTGATAACATGGCCATTAGCACGTTACCTTCACGTCTTCCTCCTCGTCCTCTCCTTCCCATCTATCCAGCCTCCCGGCGGCATTTCTGATCGGCTCACTCAGCTCGAAGTTGTCCGCGTCTTTCGAAAAACAAAATAATGCCGTGGTTAAGACAGTGACCGACACCCTGTCACACATTTGAATCTAAAATATGGAAGTAATCCTCACCCCAGTCGTCGGAATCCGCCATCTTGGCTAAGTGTGAGTGAGTTAAAGTAGTAGCTGAGATTAAACGTGCACAGCGCTGCTCTGATCTACGCGTTTCTGTCTTCTTGCTGACGGGATTACCGGAGGACTGGAGTTAGCGCCACTGCGCTATAACGCCCCCGTGTGGCGCACAAGAGCACGAGCCATCACTGTTGCACAAGTCTGTATTTATATTATTTAATATTTATTTATAATAATAATACATTTTTACAATTATTATTATACTTAGCAATAATAACTGTTGTTGTAGTTTTATAATTATAAGTCCCCTTATAATGTTTCTTGTAATACTTTATTTCCAAGGATATATGCACTGGTTTATGCAAAATTAAAATACAGTCTGACATCAGGCGACATGAAGTATTACGGCAAATAGATAGTTACATAAGAAGCCAGAATAAATACATGAGTGAGTTTACAAATGAAAGAAAAAGAAAACATCACAATCAAGTTTTTACTTTGTTAATACAACCCCTTCTGATATTTTTCCAGAATTTCAATGTACACTACTAGTCAAAAGTTTTTGAACAGTAAGATTTTTTAATGTTTTTTTTAAAGAATTCTCTTCTGCTCACCAAGCCTGCATTTATTTGATCCAAAATACAGCAAAAGCAGTAAAATTGTGAAATATTTTTACTATTTAAAATAACTGCTTTCTATTTGAATATATTTGAATTATTCCTGTGATCAAAGCTAAATTTTCCAGCATCATTACTCCAGTCACATGATCCTTCAGAAATCATTCTAATATTCTGATTTGCTTGGTGAGCAGAAGAGACGACTTAAAAAAAATATTAAAAATTTTACTGTTCAAATACTGGTAGTGTATGAAGGCTGTTAAAGCAGTTAAAAAAGTAAATAAATAATACTAATAAAAGCAGAACAATAAGTTGAATATAAATCACAAGTCAAACCAAATCAGTTTAGGCAATTACAGACCTAGGTTAATACATTATTCTCCAAGCAAGCAATTATTCAAAAACAGTCAAAGAAAACCACATTTTCACTGACTATTATAAATTGCTAAAAGAAATATTTCAATGAGTTATTGTTCTTGTATTTCTCATAAGTCTTATCTATACAGTATTAGTGGTCGACTGTTTTCCTGTTTGGCCGATGTGTTCGTGGTGGGACTTTTATTTTGACGACGCTGAGAACGGCAGCACACAGTGCTCACATTCGCCATCTTGTTCGCTGTTGTCCTTAACAGTTCTGTCTAATACGGATAGAAGTCTGTCTAATAATCAGATAAAACTGTTAAACAAAATTAAAATGTATACAAAAAAGTATCATAACGATTGCTTTTATATTATTAGTAATAGAAAGGCAAACATTATAATACTTTCTTGTTTGCCGTCAGCATTCAGCAAATACGGATTTATATAATTTAAACAAATCTTTGAATGACTAATAAACATTTAATTTCACAAACTTACTCGGATCCAGTTGTGAGATCTTGTGAAGTGTGCATGTGACCTGCATGATCGCGTGTACTCTGTGACGGTCGATCAGTGTGAATGTAATGCGGACAGGAGGAGAGTTCAGCTTCACTGGAGACGCGCGATCAACTAACTTTAAACTCGCGATTTCAAATTATGCTGTGCTTCATGCATTTGCCCACTGCCATATTCATGTCATTTCCACTGTGTGCTGTATGTAAAATGAGTGTTACCTTGGCTTTATTTGAAAAAATATGATTCCCAATGCTCACAAACTTCCCAGAATACTGAGTGCCCTGTTGGTTACAGTGTTTACTTTTTAATTATATTTTTTATTAAATATTTATTTATTTGTGAAAAATACTTTTATATAAAGTATAAGTATGTTTATTTAACACATTTATTTTTTTATCCATTTTCAAATGATTTCAAATTTTTTAAATATTAATTAAAATAAATACAATTATATCGGCCATCGGCCACCCTGCTTTCCAAGATATCGGCATCGGCTGTCAAAAAACCAATATCGGTCGACCACTATACGGTATTAGAGTTACATCATATTGCACATATTTGAAAAGAAAAGTTCAGTTCAGTATAGCAGCAATTGAGCAGCGACAGACCTAACTCATCCCAGAGAAAACAGTAGCATTATCAGGATGCTGGAGAGGTAGAAGAAAGGACAGGGATGCATTGCAACTCCCAGTGACCTGCCTGAAAGATACACAAATATAACTGTGAGACAAAATAAAGAACATTTAACAACTCAAAATGTCCAAATATCAATCGTTCATTCAGGTTTGAGATTGCTCACACGTTTAACTATAACCAATATTTTTTAAATTAAAGTATAAGAAAAGAGTTTTACCTCCGAAATCAACAGGTTTGTCCTCCCAGGGGTTGAGCACCATGGACAGAGCCGTCTGCTGTACTGGAGACAGAGCGGAGCGCTGGGCCTCAGTCACAGCAATGGCCTGATCATACGCGAACATACGAATCTGTGCCTGGTTAAACACAACCTGTGAAGAGAGAACGTAGAAACACCACATAACAAAGATCCTAGAATGACTTCAAAATACTTTTAATCTTAAAAAATAGAGGACATCATAAGAGTGTTTGGATATCTTGCAATTTAGGTATGAAATTAACTGTTTGATTTTTATCATTTGTTGTCAAATCGGTGACAGGAACTAGAAAAGACAAAGGATATTGCTACTTGACGTGCCATTAATAGTTATGAACAGTCAAATAACCACATGCATATATCATACATTTCAGTGCAAGGTACTAAAGAGGCTAGAGAAAACAGATACTAACTGCAAATTTGCCCGCTGGGATGAGCGAGATGGCAAGTGGGGTGATTCCTTCTATCTGTTCCCTCACCAAAGCAGACATGGCTATGTCAGGCAGGCCCACTACAGAAAGGGGAAAATGCACAAAAACACCATGTATGACAAAAAACATCAATTATCACAACTACGGACCAAACCTAGCAAATCAGATACAAGTTAATTTAGCTACTAATACTAATTATTTGCGATAAACTATATCTGTTAATAGAGTGACTTAAAGTACACTTCTTACAGGGACAATTCCAACTTTGGTAACTTTTGGGTAAAGTGCCTTGCTCAAGGTCCCAATGGAGATATCTGTGGGAATCAAGCCATCAGTTTTCTGATTACAAGCTCTGAGCTGTACCTGCAATCGCTCCAATCTCAATGAAGACCTCTGATCCCCAGGAGCTGACCGGTCCAAATGCCAAGCTATGACTGAGCAGCCCTATCAATGCCTGCAGCTGTTCCTCAGAGCAAGACAAATTCAAACGGCCAAGCCACAAAACTGCTTTACTGGAATAAGAAAAACAAGACATTTCACATTCAGCACAAGGGTAAATTTAATTGGAGGAAACACACATGCAATGAATTTTTAGATAATTATTTTAGATAATTCAACCTGAACTCTACTGGATTCAGGATGCGCATGATTGGTGCGTCAATCCCACACACAATGTGCCCCAGTGCCACAAAAGTGCTGGAGTCTAACTGGCTAGGAGTCTTTCTGGTTGAGCTCAGAACCGTGGAGAATAGTGATTTCAGCTGCAATTGCAAACAGAGGTCTTTTACAATATGTATATAAAACAGTAAAAAATAAATTTCACATTGTTATTGTTTTCAAATAAATTCTGTTCTTTTGAACTTTCTTTTCCTAAACAAATCCTGAAAACATGTATCATGGTTTCCACAAAAATATTAAGCAGCAACTGTTTTCAACATTGATAATAATAAGAAATATTTCTTAAGAACCAAAGTCGGCATATTAGAATGAATGTTCATGTGACATTGAAGACTTGAGTAATGGCTGGAGTAAGTTCAGCTTTGCCATCATATGAATAGGCCTGTATTACATTTTAAAATATAGAAAATAATCATTTTAAATTGCAATTATTTTTTGCAATATTATTGTTGTTTTTACTGTATTTTTGTTCAAATCAATCAAAATCAATCAGTGTATTTTCATTGATTTGTGGTATATTGTGATTTTCAAATTGCCATTTTACCAGCCATTCCAGCTCACTTTTACAAATGTGCTCATCAACATTTCACCTGTCTGCTGGTCCATGTGTTGAGAGCCCCCGTAGCTGAAATGGACTGAATTTCAGAGAGTCTAAGAGAGGCCAATTCTTCAAGTGAAAGCTGAGTGGCAATGCGACCCAACTGAGAGATCACTGAAGAGTTAAAAGAGGAAGGCATCCCATACACCTACACACAGACAAAAAAGTCACCACTATTATTATGCCACAGATATGCAGATATTCACCGAACATCACCAACATATTAATGGGATTTCCACCAAGTGGAAAGGTACAAAGGAAAAGGAGGATATGTCTTATTACGTGCACCAACAAAATGTCATATCTCAAAATTGTAAAACACTCGTGAGAATGTTATTTAGGAGCATATGAGCTGATGGAGAAATTCAGGCACCTCTTTGGTCTTTGTAAGGAGCATTAACAGCTCGAATGCACTGAAAAATGGATCCTGGCCAATGAGCTCCAAGCACCTCCGAAATGCAGCTTGTGGCATGTTTCTAAGGCTGTCAATAGTCCAGGCAGCAGGTTGTGTCACATGCAGGCTCTCACAAGAGGGGATCAGTCCAGTATCTAAAAGACAGAGATGGAGAGATGAAATGAAAAGGGTTGAGCAGTCAAAAGTGTGAAGTGACAGCCATACTGCTGCATTATATCCCTTCACAATCTGTTATTTATTTAAAGTAAACAGAATGATTTTAACGGATGACATTCTGTCAAGGCAGAGAATTGTGCTTACAAGGGGCACGTCCCATTCTGAGGAAGCCGAGGAAGAACTGAAGCACAAACTGCTTCTTCTCAAACAGCTCTGAGGGTTTCTGACACAGAGAGCCAAACTCTCCTCTCTCCCACTTCTGCTGACTCAGGAACAGCCTCTCGATGCGCTCTAAGCTCATCAAACCCTGAAGACACACGCACACATGCAGACAGGTCAAAACACAGGCATGTGTTCAGATGACACAAAGAAATTTCTGGTCACTCACTAAGGGGATGAGCCGAATAGTGTCCTTCGGGAGAAAAAACAAGAAGCGGTCCACTTGGTTCAGTGTCTCTGATGTCCAGTTTTTTACAGGGCTATGCGGAGAAAACAGTTTATTGCCAACTTGTTGGGTTTGATGCAAGCTTTCATTTCCAGTAATTTAATAGAAACTAGAAAATAAAGTTTTAACTGTCCTTACCCAAATGTCCACTGTTCCTGTAGCATGTCTGCCACCAGGTCTCGTTTATTGGCATTGTAGCAGAATCTTCGTAGGAACTCCAGACCATCAACAAAAAAGCTCCTATCCAATTTCCAAAACATTTCATCTGTCACAAATGTAGCCATGACACCTAGCGAACGAAACTCTTCTTCAGTGTACAGGCCAGTGTACATATTCTGATGAGAAAATCAAAGAAATAGGGGTTGGAGATTCACAGAGACTTCTATACCAACTGGACAATTTGGAATTAATGTACATAGAATCAGGGTTTGTTAATCCTGTCAAAATCATTAACTGCAAAGATCCACACCGAAAATATGTGCATGACCTGTAGACAGTAAAATTATATTCTTTACCAGTCTTTGAACCATCTTGTCCACCAGGACAGCTTGTTTGGTGCTGGGAAGCAGTAGGAAGTAATATGGGTCCTGTATTATAATTTTCCTCAGGGAATTCATCTTATCTTGTGGAAATCTCTTAATGGTGCTCAGCCTCAGACAATAACATGAAATTTAACATGTGAAGACAAAATTATATACACATGTAAATGTATTTTGATGAGTTGAATTTTGACTCACGGAAGTGACAGGGCAATTTGAGAACCCAAATCTCCAAGTAAATCTGAGAAGAAGTCAAACTCGTACAGTTCCTCAATTACACATTTTTTCTGTAGTACAGAAAAAGAAAAAGAAACTTCTGTCAAGAGAGTGTTTGTGCAATACTCCAACCATTATTCAGGATTCAAGACATCTGCACTCAATTTACAGGTAGGTCTGCACAAAATTGTATTGATTAATTGAGTGAACTATGAATACGATTATGAATAAGCACTACGAACAAGACTAAATAAAGATGAAACTAAACTAAACTGGTAATCTGTCAAATTTAGGTCCCGAATTTGAATGTAGGTTTACTAGATACCAGTGAGGGGTGAAGTGGCACAGGCTGCTCTTTTAGAAATGTCATAATGTCACGTAGAGGCAATAGAGATGCCAGGTTCTGGAACAATCGTCTAAAGTCCAAGCAATTCACTCCCGTAGCCAGTGTCCCCAGAGATCTGTCATTTCAGAGAAAGAGAAAACATGATCATGCTTAAGTACTTCACTGAGCAGTGTCATGATTCATTTTGTTGACCTTGTTTATAATCACAAAATGAACTTTCAAATCCCTAAAGGCCAAACTTACAGAAATTCTTGTAGTGAGAGACTTGGGTGAGAGAAGACAGCCTCTTTAAAGAGAGCTTTAGCCTGTTGAATGAAAAAACAATGTGAGGACAATTCAGATTATAGAAAAAAATACTATGGAAATAAATGGCTACCAGCAAATGGTTACCAACATTCCTCAAAATAGCTTATTTTGTTCAACCGAAGAAAGAAATTCATACAGGTTTCAAACAACGTGAAGGTGCGTAAAAAGAGAGTAAAAAAACAAAACATTTTTGGGTGTACGATCCCTTTAAGGAATTTACCTATAAGTAATGGGGCACAATTACTGTAACCTGTTAAATATTTATGCATACATTAACAGTGAAATCAGTGACGTCTTGGCTCTGTAAGCTTATCTATAACAGGAAAGGGGGATTACAAAACACTTTCATGCTTAATGTCCCGGAAAAAGGGACTGACAGTACTAGAGCAACTCAGGTTGGTTTTCATCTTATTTTCTGCTAGTTAACATAAGATACAGTGTCTGGTGTGCTAAATCAGAGGTTACACAACAAAGAAGCTTTGTTGTGCTCCATGATTAATAAATAAACTAGTAATTAGACACTGTAGTATTATACAGATCACTGTGGTAATAGGGCGTGTCATGATGGAAGACACACTTGTTATAACCTCTTGCTCAAACACACACATTTAATCAGACTATGTGAGAAAGTATATATTTTCTTCACCAGATTTGGGATAATTTCTCGGATATTAAGACAAACTAACAGCCAAACCAATGTCTAATGTTTCCTATGTGCGTTGAGTTGTACATTACCTTCGGGAATTTCTAATGATTGACTGTTTTGCAGCTCTTTTCTATGGTACCTTTAGTTACTGAACCTGTATTATTGTAAGCATTATAACTGATGTCTAAGGTATTAAACATATGTGTATTTTTATTATTATTTCTTTTTATTTTCATTTTTATTTCTATTTATTTATTTGTGAGTGCGTGTGAAGACTGAGACAATGTTGTTTGTTTGTTCTGTGTTGTACTCTGAATTTTTTTTTTATTAATAATAATAATAAAAAAAGATCTTCACCAGATTTGCAGTTCCTAAAAGAAATACAAATATTTGAAAGGCAGCATATGAATAGTGGAACAGTTTTACATAGTTATATTTTAGGTTTTGTTTATGCGCTAATGAAATGTTATATGGTCTTTGCAGTGTAAGAACAGACATACACTAGTTCAAATTTTTGGGGTCAGCAATATTTTTTTTTTTTACAGGACAAAGTAAATTGATAAAAAAAAATATATATATATATATATATTTTGAATTGTCACCAAAGATTTCTATTTCAAATAAATGCTGTTCTTTGGAACTTTCTGTTCATCAAAATCCTGAAACAATTTGTCACGATTTTGACAAAAATCAAATCAAGCAGCAAACTGTTTTCAACATTGCTAATAAAGAGAAATGTCTATTGAGCAGCAAATCAGAATATTAGACTGATTTCTGAAGGATCATGTGACACTGAAAACTGGAGTAATGGCTGAAAATTCAGCTTTGCCATCACAGGAATAAATCATATTTTAAAATATATTACAATAGAAACCAGTTGTTTAAAACTGTAACAATTTTAACAAAAACATTGTAACTAAAATTGTAACATAGTTTTACTGTATTTTGCAGCCTTGGTGAGCATAAAAGGCTTTTTTCAAAAATATTAAAAGATCATATTGACCCCAAACGTATGAATGTAAGTCTAAATAAATATGTACAAGGGAGAAAAGACCAATCAAAATTCAGTATGCAAATAAGTATAAAATTACCACCAAAAAAAACTATAATTGTACTGTAATTGTGGTTTATGAATGAAGTGTGTATGACTGGACTAGAACATACCTGCTGTGTGTTCCAGAGGCGAGTGTGTACAGCAGTGTCTCTGATCAGCAGCAGAGGGACTCCAATATGAGATGTTCGTGTTCAGAAGCCTAACGGGAAAATCTGTTAGAGTGAGTTTCGTACCCAGAGTTTAGAGATGATAGTGTTGACCTGTGGGGGGGTGAGCCCAGGTGTCTGAAGGCTCATAGCAGGTAACGCTTCTAGCAGAACATCAGTCGGTAAAGCCCATAGAGTCTCCACCTTTACTCCACTCACAAGAGATCCCAGCCTAGACAAATGCTCAGAGCCTGGTAGAGCCAGCTGAGAGGGAGCACAAATATCACACTTATATTTCCAAAATATGATGTCCAGTATCATTCAAATGACATTCAGTATATTTGAGAATTTAGCAAACTGGGGTCTGGGAAAAAATACATAACAACTGCATTTTTTCCCCTTAAATTCACATAATAATTTAATGATGTCAACTTAATAAAAAATACATTTTCTTTAAATAATGTTTTAACAATTTGCACAAAAAAAGATATAATAATATTATACTTCAATAACCATTTATTGAAAAGATTTGTGGTCTTATAATATTTTTACAATACATAATTAGCAATTAATACTATTTTTTCAGTAAAACTGAAAAAGTGATAGTAAAGACTATTACATTACATTGTAGGGATGCACCGATAGGATTTTTTGGGGCCGATACCGATACCGATTTTTCACAAACACTTATTGGCCGATTCCAATACCGATACCGATATTTGTCACTTCCTCTCTTATTTGAAATTTTGGCATCAAAATTTAGATCATGTTTTAAATCAGCAAAGTTCAAAAACACCTGCATTAAATTATACTAGCAGTTTTATTGCTGCATCATCAAATAATTTCTAATGAACATGGATTGGATCCATTTAAAATTTAACAGGCCTACATAAATACAACAGAACAAAGATACATATTAAATAAACAGTGCTTTTTAGGTAGGTTTAACAGTTTTCAGGTACAGAAATAAAGTAAACAAATGTAAAATAACACTTCACTGTATAAATTAAATACATATTAATCCTTTATTGTAACCGACTTTATTATGATTAATCTTTTAATTTGTTTTTGTATACATTTTAATATTTTTTGTAAGTTTAAATATGTATGAGATCTCCTGTACTAAGGCGGGACTCTTATTTTGATGGGTTTTCTAGTCTACGGAGCTATATGGGAAATGAAAGCACGCAGTTCTTCGGATTTAAAGTTTGTCAGTTTATTAAGCTTTTTCCTTATATGCCAATGGTTGTAAATTGAGGAAAAATCGGCCGATAAATATCGGCGGCCGATACATCGGTGCATCCCTATTACATTGTTAAAAAATAAGTAATGTTCAAATAAATGTTCGGTCACGCTTTATTTTAAAATCCAATTCTCGCTATTAACAAACCATTAACTACGGCTTTCACCTCAGTAATCTCCTAAATTGCTGCTTATTAATAGTTAGTAAGGTAGTTGTTAGGTTTATTGTATTGGGTAGGATTAGGGATGTAGAATTTGATCATGCAGAATATGTGCTTTATAAATACTAATAAACAGCCAATATGTTAATAATAGGCATGCTAATAAGCAACTAGTTAATAGTGAGAATTGGTCCCAATACTAAAGTGCTACAAAATGTTCTTTTGAACATTCATCAAAGAAAAAAGAAAAAAAATCACAGTTTCCACAAAAATATAAATACAATATAAATACAAGCCCAAACTTTTGGAAGGTAATGTGAATATACAGTATGACTGCCCTAATATTTTAGGAAATGGGTCCATCATAAAGGAATTATCACCATTAGGGGGCCCTCTGGATCAAAAATGTTTGAAAACCCCTTTCATAAACAATGTAACTAGTCTTAACTTAAATAATGAACATGTGCCATAAGCAGACTATATTCCAAAAACATTTTTTCCTTTAGGAGTCTCAATGATGCCACACATATGAAAGAGGATGTGTGAGGCATGCGCTAGCTCACTAGTGACACCCTATCTGACCTACATCACAATGTTCCCTTAAACCTTAGACACAAAATACAAAGGGCCGCTCGACAACTTCCTTGTGCCTGGTGCAATCCTATACCTTGAGGAACTGCCAAATCACATGGATCATATACTAAATCACTAAATGTTACATGCACTTTCAAACACGCAAAGTAAATTTATAAAGAGTAACTGATGGGTGAGTGTGTGTAAGGCCAATGCAATTGTCCTTGAAATATCCCAGAGTTGATTACGCCGAGTTGTGGGCCAGCTGGCTGTGCAAAAGTGCTGACATCTCAAACACAGACACAAACACACACGCACACACACATGTAGGTTCACAGAGACACTGGCTGACTTTTCAAACATTTAAAATGGAAAATATCAGAGCAAGCACAGCTTTTCTCAAGATATACTTACGCTAAAATTGGCTGAGATCTTGTCGAAGATAACACGTGCCTTTATGAAAAAAAAATATATATACTGATTAATAGGCAGTGAATAAGGCAGTGCATTATAAAGCAATGAAACAAGATGATGAATAAATATTCTGATAGATTAAGTCTCTTATGTTTAATTATATGGGTATTAGGTAGTTTTTTATTTATTTAATTAAAAGACATTTTCTGACTTTTACAAGGACATTCCCCCTTTCAACCTATAATAAAGACATTCTGTTGACATCTGAAGCTTTCTATTTTACCATTGTGCTCCCATCCTCTGCCTTCCTTATGTTTTGGGTGCACATTGAGATGGACAAGCAGAATTCATGTTTGGTCATGCAGAAATTATTAAAAGGGTTGAGCAGTGACACAATCCTCTACCTATATCAGATACCATGGCTCCTCTGACAGCAGTCTTCCATCTGTTGCAGAGCCCTCAAGACTAAACCCGCACTGCCTGCTTGTAACCACTGACCTCTACTCAATTTTCCACCCACTTGGGTATACTCAATGTCCAAAATTAACATGCCAAATGCAAAATGCAAGTAAAAATGGTCTTAGGCAAGTGAATAAAACCATGCTACAGAGTAGCTGTCTGGTAGCATTAATAGAACTGTAACATTGCATGGTGTAGATCAAACTGTAAGACATCTTACTGTCTGAACCTTGCTGATGTAACATGAGAGACTCAAATAAAACATGTAACAATGCTGAATATTTCTAATACTATGCTTGCAAAATTAAAACATGAAAACAAAATGTAAGATTTTGTTGGCAGTTGTTGACAATTTTTTGTATGATGCTAGAAATGTTTCTCACATTCCTTTTAATGTTTACCTTTATTTTATTTTAAATTTTTTCTTCAACTTTTCAGATTTTTATTGTATTGTAACCTTTTTGTAACTATATCTTTTTCAAATATACTTTTTTGGAAAACAATTTGAATCAGAATTGAATAGAATTTGAATAGAATCATGACTGGTAAGAAATATTTGTGGCCTGCAGATTTTGCTAAATTATTTGCCTTGTGTGGCAAAAGTATGCATGCGTGGCAAAAATGGTGCATACCTGTGCAGGGGTGAAAGGCACAGAGGCGAGGGTGCTGAGAGCAGGCATGAGCTGGGCTGAGGTCAGCTGCTGCAGGACACTGGATCCCAGCAGGGGCAGAAAAGGGCCAAGCTCAGAGACTCTCTGAGGAGTGAGACTGGAGGGAGACTGCAGGTCAGACGATTTCAAGACCAAGCTGGAAATCTGGACACAAAACGAAAAGTAACCACAAACTTGAGGCTATTTTATATGTACCAATCCAGTACGAAAATTAACCATGGTTTTACCACAAATAAACCCCCCCCCCCCAAAAAAAACCATGTTTACTATAGTTAAACTGTGGTAACCACAAATTAATCATGGTTTTGCTACACTAACCATAGTTTAACCATGGTATTTGTAGTAAAACTGTGGTTATACAAATGATAATCAATATGTCAAAAAACCATGGTTAATTCACTTTTACTATTGTAAAACCATGGTTAATTTTCGTAAGGGATATTTTTCAACTGGGGGTTGTTTTTTAATGAAGAGGGTGAATATAAGTGACAACGATAAAAATGAGACAGTTGATCTGGAACATGTTTACTGACCATATTGCTAGGAACACTAAAACCCTGGACCGCACACGTCCTGATGTTGTCCTGGATCACTGAGTAGGCTTCTGTTCCTGCATATGACATCAGCTGGCTGGGGTGAGCCAGACAGGACAGATTACCTAACCTGGAGGGGTGTGAGAGGAAACTATTTTATTTTTTTTTTATTTTTGCTTTTTACATTTCCATGTCCCAAATCTGAAAAAATACAAGGAATTGTATTAATTTCATTTTAATGGAGTAAAACAACATTGTATTTAGCTAACCTCCTGATCTGGTTGACAGTGAGATTCCCGAAGGTTCCAATGAGACTCTGAGCAATGAACTGCTGATTAAGGAGACCCAACCGATTACTCATCAGGACATCCAAACCATCCAGCAGCTATGAAAACAAAACACAGGACAATGAGAACAAAATTAGTCAAGATATGTCAACTGATAATTTTAGACTATTTATTAGTCATTTCAAACTATCAAATGGCCATTTTAAATATGAACTTAAAGTGTCATTTTTAAAATGGAATGACTACACTATACACTCTAAAAAATGTTGGGTTAAATACAACCCAGTGCTGGGTAAAATAGGGACAAACCCAGCAATTGGGTTGTTTTGACCCAGCGGTTGGGTTAAATGTTTAACCCAACCTTCTGGGTAGTAACCCAACCGCTGGGTCAAAAC